CACACCTTGACTTTCTTCATGTTTTGACTATTGTTATGGTCAGCTGCAAAGCTGGCATATCAGGTGACGTCACGGTTTGACGTTGCTGGGTAGAATGGGCTATCCCAACCAAGTGATAAAATTGTATAGGCATTATGGTTCAGGGTCTTTCATACTTCCCCTGCCTGCGTGCAGGTCGGAGGTGGAAGAGATCTGGACGTGTAATGTTAATTTTACCTGTGATTCTTTGAATAAACTAGCACGGTTATTTTTTATATATCCAAGTGGTCTACTTCGTCTTTGTGAGTTCCTGGTTTCAAAGAGCCGGAAGAAGCTTAAAAATAGCTTATACCTCTGTCATGTTCTCCTCAGTGTCCACCGCACCGACTCTGCTTTGAGTGCCACTGGCCTAAAATGGATTGATCATATACAGTATGACCACTTAGAATACAACAACAGATGGTCTGGAATGTTATGACTGTTAAATGATTCTTCTTCTCCTTGTCTTAGTGTGTTGGTATGCGCATGGGAACTATGCTCAGAAGCTCCTGAATGATTTATTCAGGCTCCTTTCTGGAGGCCCCATCATCACCCAGCTGCTGCTGTCCTATAGATTTAGACGCATTTCTTGTTATTGGGTTTTGCTGTTGACAACTTTTGTCCCAGTGCTGTGTGGAAATTATGAAAACATCTTTGAAAATCAGTAAAGTATTCCTTTAAGTTCATCCAAAAAATAGCAGGTCTATTGGCAAAGAAATAAAATGTTTTACTGGTTGTATTTCCATAACCATTCACTTTTGTGCATTTATTTTAATTAAATAAAGTCATATTTAGTTCCCCTACAGTTCATCATCGAACAGGGAAGACTCCGCGCCGACCCATCCAAAATCACTGCTGCTACCAATTGGCCTACCCCCACCTGTGTGAAGGACCTGCAACGTTTCCTGGGCTTTGCAAACTTCTACCGCCGCTTCATTAAGAATTACAGCACTGTCGCAGCCCCCCTCACTCAGCTCACTTCCACCAAGGTGAAGTTTGCATGGTCCAGGACAGCTGAGCAGGCCTTCCGAACCCTCAAAATCCGGTTC